CCAAACAGCTTAGCCTAGATGTTTATAGGATTGTCTTCTGCTGGGACAGGAAAGCTGGTCAGACTTCCTTTCATTTTTCTTACTTTTGTGTTGGTGAATCAGATAACATTCCTGTGAAATACAAAGCAATTTGTAAGGTTTGCATCTCTAGAATATTTACACCCATCTATCCAGGCTTATTAAGGTAAGGAAAACCCAATAACCTTAAGTCTAAAGTCCGGTATGGTCCCATTTAGCATGTGACCCTTTCAGCTTCATTTAACAGACACGCTCGCCTCAGGATATCACGAATAATTAGCAGAGATCAACCTAACATCAATCACCCTCCTCTCACACGCGCTGTGGTCGTCACCTTTTTAAATGACCTTACATGCTAAACAGACTGCTGTCACAACCTGTCGCAAGGCTCGATGCAGAGACAAGCATGGTGGTGTCAGAAAAAAAAGGAGAGGGGAAGGAAAACTGACAGCCGCTGATATGGATCTGAAAGAGGGGTTCAGAGACGGCGTTTGGTCCAAAGAAACGTCACCCCCGTGTGTGATTAATTGCACCTTTCCAGGAAACGAATCATTCCAGCCGTCCACGTTTTGAAATCAAGGACGGTGCCTGCTGAGGTCTGCTGATGTGTTTGGAGGAGTTGTAGTGAGCAGAGAGCAGCGTTCACAGATGCTTAAATGTGACCGATAATGCACCCTTTGAAATTACTACCAAAGCAAGCAGTGGTTGGGTTTACCTTCATCATCCAAATATTACTGTTGTGAGCGGTTGCATTATCATTTTCTGGACTGTATCAAGTCTTTGACCCAATCTTTGGTCTCACAGTGACCCAATTTCCCCAAAGGGATCATTAAAGTTTCATTCCATCTTATCTCATCTGGCCCATCCTTCTCCCTCCTAACCGGTCACATGGCAGCGCCACCCTCCTCCGATCCTTCACTTAATTATGTCCCCTGAATGAAGTTCATCCTTCATGCTGCCAGCAGCCCGGCTGCCTGGCTCGCCTGTTCTGGGCCATCTAATCATGGCATAGAGACAAACTAAAATTAGACAGTCAGCATGTGAAGCCTGGCAGACCCTAATGAAGGCTGACGTCTCAAGACGGTCCGCTGATGTACAAGATGCACTCCGTTTGAACCGGCCAGAGCCGCTGCTGACTAACGCTGAGGATTAGCAACACTGTTTGTGTTGATTGCAGGGTTCATTGAAGCAGGGGGGCAGAGGAAGACCGTCCAATCTGGAATAAAAACTCAAACTTTGCATTTCAGGTTCTGAACTTAGCAGCTAAAGTTTAGATGTGAGCGGAGCATAAGCTCTGATCAAACTAAATGAAAGGGGTTTATTTCAAACCCACATTTAATATCCATTTGTAAAGTTTCATCTAATCACTGGAAAAGCTTCAAATTTGCTTATTCTTCAGGTCCTGATCACAAAGAAAATATCTGAATGTCCAGATTCTCCGTACGTAGTCATTCCTCCATCCGTGCATCCTTCTGCTCTTCCATCGGTCTTCTTATCAGGGTTCCCACCATGATTAGTTTATGAATGTAGAACAAAACTGACTCCTTCCAAACCTAAATACTCTACGCCTGTTTTCAAATGTTGCTCCCTCAGTCTGCTGTTGGGGCAGGAAGGCATGGGTTCAGGTTTCTCAGTTATATGTGCAAATAAGGCAGCAAACGTGTTTAAAAACAGTTTCCAAAGGCGTAACGCTCATTAAAACTCAGCGTATTGGTCTAATTGTCTTATTTTCGAAAAAATTCAGGAAATTGTGCTGAAATTCGTTAGACAGAACCTTGGGTTAGCAAGCCCAGACGTCAGTCAGAGGGATGAAATGGGCATATTCGCTTGCCCATTACTTCCAGCTCAACTACTTATTCCTATTACATATTGGTCCATCAGCCACCCTATTAATCCAACTATTTATTCAATCATTAGTTTATCTATCCATCCTTCCAACCACTGGACCATACACTTATCAATTCATCCATTCCGCACGAACTAAAGGCAACATTTTTGTATTTATAATTCAATCTGCTCGATAGCAGCTAATTAAAAACAACTAATGTAGAAAATTAAGAACTGCTACCATGAAAACCAGTTCCACCTTTTTAACATCCTACAATGAAAAGCATAAAAGCAACTAAATTTCCTGCCTGATTTCCATCAAACCAGCCTACACTGGATTTAAAAAAAAACTGGGCAGATAAAATTTCCAAATCTCTACTTATTGTTTATTATTCAATTTAATATAAATTTACATTGTGTGGGCACTGGAGCCCTGGCAACAATGAAGTAAAAGCAAGTGGGTTTATGACTCTGAATGCAGACTTGTAGAGTTGACTCAACACACCAATAACACATGTTCCCTCAGTAAAAAGCCACAGTTCACTAATGAACTGCAAAACAGAGTGGAGGAAGGTACAGAAGAGTGATAATGGTGTAAACAGACAAATCGTCGGATGTATGGCAGTCAAATATTCACTGCTACATCATTATAGAGAAAAACGACAGTTTACCTAGCTGACAGCTAACTCTTAATGTCCTCATACATTTCCTACGTCCCTATTCTGTATTTTTCTTAATTTTTCTCATATTAACAGAGTTTTCAAGCCAATCTTGGTCAGCAGGAAAAATAAATGATTCCAAAACTTATTTATAAATCTACCGTAGGTATTCTAATAAAGGTAAAAAGTGCAAACATCAGTTATAAGGAGGAAGGAGGTATTGACTAATGGGTAGAGGACCTAAACTATGGCCTACAAACTGATGGGACAGAAGGGTGCAAGGCTGGACGGATGGTAGGACAAACAATCAAATTTAACAGAAAAAGGTATTTAAAAAAAAAAGGGATGGATGGACAGATAGTAGGGTGAACAATAAAGCATGGATGAAAAAAAAATAATCAAACAGATAAAGGGATGGACAAACAAATGATCCCTTTGCCTCAGGGGCATTCCTGTTGCCGTACTCCAATACATTATTCCACAGCAAACTGATAATATGTTAAATTCAGGAAGAAAGAAAAAAGTTTTTTAATATTCTGATATCACGTTTCTTTGGGTCATCAACTATCAATGATAGTAAAAATCAGTCAGGGTGCTTTATGAATATTTCATAAGGTAAACCTTCCAGAAAAGCTAATTATGAAGTCATTAAATCCAAAATGCCTGCCGAGGGAAAATAAACCACAGGACGGCTGTAGCAAACGTGCCCCTCGCACCTTTTTAGGTGCTTACACTTCAGTTCAGACAATTAATCCCTACATCTGTTTTTATGTTCTTTATATCTGCTTATCACCTTTAAAAATTGATTCTCAATGATTGTGTTTTAAGACACAAAAAATACATCTTACGCTTATCCAAAAAAAAGCAGAAATTTCTGTATTAGAATAAAATTTAGACAGACTACAAAAATAAAAATCTAATGCTTGCCATCTACTCTCTATTTGAGCTTCATAGACAGGCACATAGCACATTCTCCAGTAAATTGTTGCTTTCTTTGCAGCCAGTATGTTGGGCCATTCAGTAAGCAAACAGGAGATTTGTATATGCAAAATGGCAATCCACAGACGACAGCCATTAATCCTCAATGCACCTGTCTGAGGTTCAACTCCTGACCTTTGTTACATGTTTTCCCCTTCTCTCCATCCCTATTTCCTGTCTAATTACTGTAAAGAAAATTTAAAAAAAAAAAGTAGATTTCTTGAAAGAAATCTACTTTTTTGTGGCTAGTGATATGGTCCTGACTACTTGTAGCTTTATGGGTCCCGATTGTGCCCGTATTAAACTTTTCTCAGAAAGAAAGCTTAGTTAAAGGATCACAAAGTTGTGTTTTTCAGCTTTAACATTGCTTTAATAATTAAAAAGAATAATTTAGAAAAAAAAAATGGAGCACATATCAACTTGCAGCCTAATATTAATTCACACTGTAAGAGGGATAGAGAGTAAGAAATCAAACAGGTAACAGGAAGGCTTGACTCAATGCAGCAAAGTTGCCCCTTTTTATTTTTAAGTTCTTTTTATCTCCATCTGTTGTGGAACATTAAATATTTTTCAATGTTGGCAGCCTTTTAGGAAACTCAATCGTACCAATCTCAAGCAGAAAATACTAAAGAGATCTTAATAGAATTTTATTGAGGGACTTAGAATATACTATAGCTTCTAAAGAGAAAGAGGATTGGTCAAAATTCTGCATTTACATGCCAGAGCTTTACAAAACTTGCAAATCGGCAAGAAATTTCTAATGTAAATCTTTACTTTCTAGAGTTTAAAAAACCTCTTTAAACCAAAACTCTACAGTAACTCAATATGGAGCGTCTCAATATCTGTTCTTACAAAGTAAATTTTGCAGTGTTAAAGTAGCACTTTAAGAGTGCATTTGGTCCCACTCTGAATTAGTGTTAAATTAGAATTCTAGGGAGTGTACTTTGACACTGCATATTTAACACTGTGGAATTTACTGTGGTATTATCTTTTCAACAAATTAACTCAATATTTTGATCTTTAAACTTGAATCTGGATGACAGACCTAAATTAGCTCATCAACTTCAGGAAACACATGCAACAAGTTCCTGATCAAGTTGCCTGAAGTTTGCTTCAAAGGACACAAAGTGGAAAAAGAAAAAGGTCCAGAGGTGTTTCCAGGCCACTAGGGTAGAAAAGTCTCCGGGGCTAGATAAACAATAAAGGCCTGTCGTTTGGTTAGAACAAAGGCCTGTCATTTGCTTTTGTTGTTGCTGGTGTTTCTAATCTGCATGTCCAGATGGCGGGATGACTCCCCCCCAAACACACTACATCGTTAACAGCTCAGCACAGCTGGCAGACAAAGTGAGAAGCAGAGGAGCGCAAGAAAATAAGGAAGTGAGAGAGCTTTAAAAGGTAAAGAAAAGGATGAAGCTAGACAATTAGTGAGGAATAAAGGGATATTCAGAAGGGCGACCAAAGGCCTTGTGACACAGCCTCTGCCAGATAAGTGGAGCCTGCTGGCACAGTATCGCTTACCCAGATCTGTGTTGGGCCCCGCCAGCAACTGTTTGAACTTATCCAGGCGGGACGCTTCCCTCTCCGTCATGGCCGGGGTGCCAGATGTGTTCTGGTCAGCCATGCGAGCCACTAATGGGATGACGGGCGGCCGGTGGGGCAGAGACCTCTGTCTGTGGAGGCCTGCTGCATCTGGTTGAAGGATGGAGACGAGATAAAGAGACAGGTTACATAAACGCCAAGCCATTTTAAACAGCACGCACGTTTGCCAGCTGCCCTTCGTTGTGAGAGGAACCTGAGTGAAATCAACAGCTCTTTAAATAGCAACTTGATTAAATGGATTTATACCCCTAAAGGTCTTCATGAAGTGAAGACAGCTTTAGTGTGAAGACGAATGATGCACATAGCTCAGAATGCAGCATCCTTTCACTGAAAAAAAAGAATGCAACCGTTTTCGCCATTTACTTAATCATATTTAGTTACTTTAACACAATTGTTTAATGTCCTAGCCTGCTAACATGAAAAAAACTGTGTTAAAGTAAATAAATATGATTAACTAAATGCCAAAAATGGTTGCATTCTTTGTTTCAGTTCACAGTTATAATGCATAGTGTGAGGCTTCTCTGTGATCAAGGGAGGAGAATTATGAAGGAAAACCGAATGCAGGCTGCAAAAAACTTGGAGCTACAGGTCACCAACCAAAAGGACAAACACCACAAAGGTTTAAGAGCTAAAAGGGAAAAGCTTAGATCAGCAATCTGAGGCTTCAGTGTCACATTTGGACCTTTAGGGCCACCATAGTGGCTTTTAAACATTGGAAAAAGTATTTTTCAATGGAGGACACTAATTATGCAAGAAGTAATATTTAGTTTATTTTAGTTAAAATCATCTTTCCTTTACATGCTCATTTTCTATAAATATTGAATTAATAAATTAATTTTTTTTTTAATCTAATTTTTAAAGTTTGAGTTTTTATTTATATTTTTTCGTAAATTTAACCATAAACAAATAAACATTTTCCAGAGGTGCGATTAAATATCTACACTAGTTTTACCTGAGCATCATGTAGCTTATAATTCTCTAGGTTTAGATGAAATCACGCTTTAGTGTTCGAATGGCCAAATCAAGGCTTGGAGCTAAATCAAAAAGGGAATCTGGGCCAACACTTGTTGTTCAGAGATCTTATCCAGTGTTAGCTTAAGGTTTTTTTAGGTAGGAAAACAAAATTTCAGTCTTTATATTTGCAATACTGGTTTAGACCAAATACAGGGAGACAGAGTATGATATACGTGCTACTCTGTGTTGATCTAACAGTAAAACGTTGAAAGGTTCAAGTGTTAATGCACCGTCAACAAATTAGCTTCAGAAACTGTTACCTAGCCAACTTTGTCGTTTCGACAATAACCCTGAGTAAATGAACAGCAGTGCTAACTTTTAATATTTACATTTCAATCAGTTCTGTCTCTTAGGCGTCACATGTTAAAACAGAGGTGGAACAAAGAGTCACAACAAATCCAGATGTTTTTAGACTTTAACATTAGCGGCGATCCTCCTCCAGCCAGGATAAAGTTCATGCGGGCATCCTGCCAACAGTTGGAACAAAAGCTCCAACATTTCTACTGCCGGCAGAGTTACACAAACACATCATGGCAATTAGGAGAACTGGCAGCTTGCTGCTTTTAATATCTTATTCTCTTTTTACAGGAACAAATAAAAGGCTACAAATCTGTTCTCAAGTGCTTTATTTGCACTTACAAAAATTAAAAAAAGATCATTAAAGCAGGCGGCAGTTTCTCTATAACTTAGGGAGTCCATTTAACAACGAGGCACTTTACACAGTCTCTTAAACATTCAATTCAATGAAAAAAACCAACAGAGGAGGTAGGTGGTGCTTACATGTTGTCGCAGTGCTCTATAATAACTATTTCAATTAACTGAGGAAGAAAAACAATCGTCTGTTATGGGAAGTGTGTGTATATATTTGTGAACAGATCAAATGAGTACACACAATATGTGGACGTTTGCCATGAGACACAGAAGGAAATAATGCCGTATTAGGAGAGAAACTACTGGAAGCCAAAGGGCTTCATCTGAACACAGAAACAGCCTGAAAACAGCCAGAAAAATAGGTTTAAGTTAACCTGGTAAACTGTAGATTTTAATCAAACTTATAAAGTCAAAACATAAGCTTAATGAAAGACGTCCAGATTCACCAACTGCCTGCAGATTGCTGATTAAATGCGGAGCTTTTCTCATTTTATTCCATTAATTTCTCAGAAAAAAATTAAATGAAATTGTTAATATGAGGGAAGATCTCAAAATTGGAGTTACTTCAGGCTACATATTTATCAAAGCTACCAAATAAACCAACTCTCAGTTACTCTTAGGGATGTTAGAGAGCTCCTTTTGGAAAGAGAAGGGTGTAATGTTCACAAGCAGGACAATATGAGTCCTATCACTTTATGTTTAAACAGGGAAAACATTTCTAAGGGTCTACTGGAAAATAAGATAAAGATAACTTCTCTGCATAATTTCGAGGTTCTTGATCAAGAAGGAGGTTTACAACTTTACCAATAAGATAAAACTGCAATAAAAAAAGTGTATCAGTTTAAAGGAAAAAAGTCTTTCAGAGGTAAAAGTTCAGCCTGGTTTAATTTTGAAAAATGTAATCTGAATATGCTTTTTAATCCAGGATTTAAAGGCAATAAAATACAGAAGGTAAAAAGGTTTGATAGTGGCTATAAAACACGATGGAGGAGGTGTAATGATTAGGGAACAGTAGAGTCTTTTCAGTCTGCTCAGAACGGAGCAGGTTTGTCTTAAGATGGGTGTATTAATACTTTAATGAAGGGCAGATTTTTTCCGTTCTAAAAAACTCAAAAATACTCCAAGTTGGTGTTACTTCTAGATCCACCAGCTTTAAAAACATAGGGTGTATTGCATTTATTAAGATTATAGTGAACGTTGTTTTCTTTTCTTTTTTTTTTTTTATCAAAAAACCTCTTCTCTGTGGGTGTATTTCACTTTTTCTTGCGCAGATTTGTCCAAATAAAACAATTATATTTTTTGGAGCTGAAATCTACAGTACTGACCTTTAGGTGACCCGATCGGAGCTTCGCTGTGGGATTTCACCAGACGGCTCTCGCTATACGGGCTGCTCTGAGAGGCAAACGACGCATCTGGACTGATTGCGTCTACTTCCTCCACTCTGAGATACTCCTCTTCTTCTTCCTCCTCCTCTTCCTCCTCAGCGAACACCTCCTCCTGTGCATCTTCCTCTACCTGACCCGACTCTGCTGTGTCATCTAGCCTCTGCCTCTCCTGCTGCTTGCTGTGATTCTCAATCACCTGTGAAGATAACAGTAAACCAACCAGAAATAATGATGAGTCTTGGGTTTTTACACAATGGAAATGTTAAAGTCCAAGCCTGAAGAAACCTAAAACAGATATTTCTTTCTGCCTAAAGAGGTGGCAGCCTTATTTGGACTCTCTTATCTACAAGAACTGCTTTTCTTCAATTCCTTTGAAATACTAACTATTACCAACAGCATCAAGCTGAATCCAGAGTGTTTGATTTATAGTAAACTACTCCATCCTGCATTTTACCTTATTTGCCGTCTCCATGACAACCTCGATATTTAGGTTCTGTGCAGCCATGGCCAGCAGCTCGTCGTCGTCATCCCCGACGTCCCAGGCATCACTGGTGATGCTCTCAAACTCCTGGAAGGTGGTAGCTTTCTTGGGCTTGCCAGGCGTGGTGGGAGGGGGTTTGTTGCCTGCTTTCATCAGGCTGCAAGACACAGAGCGGACATGTGGGAGAGGCTGGGGTTAAAACAACTGAGATACAAGGTCGGCGGAGGAGATGAAGGGGGTGAACACCAAGTTGGATGGTTATAAGGATGATTCATGGACTGAGGATACTGAGGACTGAAGGGAGAGTAAAGAAATTCAGAAATCTATATTTCATGAGCTAATTTACTTTGGCAGTATTATAAAACATTCAGAGTAAAATCAACTACTTCCTGTTTACAGTTTGGTTCCTGATTCTAATAAACGTTCTAATCCTGAAGAACTGCAAAAGTTATAATATCATGTTTAGTTTAACTTTCTTTCTAGTCGCCCCTGAAAACAAAACAAAAAAGACTGCTCCGTGGGACGGTGACAGAAAGAAAGAAAGAAACTTGTTCCATCCCCTGTAAAGCTGAAAAAACAACATCAACACCACCTTCATTGGAATAACCGGGTGAAAGGCTCGATTTAGACCCATGTAGATCTGGCAGCACTACAAGAGCAAATATTACATTTCATCAACTGGATGAACTTTCAATTCAGTTCAATTCGGTTTATATAGCGCCAAAACAAAACACAAACCATCTCGAGGCACTTTCAATTCATCAGATCATCCAGTCAAATTGATTCAAGGCTTTCTATCTAAGGAAAACCAGTTGATTGCATCGACTCATTGACTTGAATGCAATGCCTCACACTAAGCATGCATGTAGTGACAGTGGAGAGGAAAAACTCCCTTATAACAGGAAGGAACCTCCAGCAGAACCATGCTCAGTGTGAGCGACCATCTGCCGAGGCCTTTCATGGCCTTTGATGCCCAAATTCTATACAGATTTTAGCGACATTCTGGGTAAAAATACAAGTCAATTTGTGGAGAAAAGAGACAATTTGAACAGTTATTCAAAACTGAGTAAAGGTTTATTTGGTTCTTAATATAAAGATGTACATTGTTTTGGGATTTTTGGAATATGTTGCAAATATTATTCCCTTCACCCCATTTTAAAAAAAGCTGTTGTCTCTCATATATAGTCGGACTGCTTTTCAGTTTGCACTTTGTGGTGTGCATTTCAACCCTCTTGCATACATGGATAAGAGGCTGTCCTAAGGTTTCAGTTCCTTAAATGGCAGCGGCATTATCTGCAGAATTGCTGATACTTTGAAGAATCACTTCTTCTAAAAAAACATTTTAACAGCTGTTTAGTTCACCCGTTCAGGCCTGCAGGCCACAGTAGTCACTGCTTATTTACAAGCAGAGCAAAAAGGTGAGGGTATTTTAGTGAAACCCCACAAAAGAGAAAACAAAATTTATGCTGGAATTAGACATCAAACACCAAACAATGGCTTCTTCTCTAACGGGAATTTATCTGATTAAGGAAAAGAAGAAGAAAGAAAAAAGCAGCATCAACAATGCTGTACAAATGTATTTATCCATTTATCTATTTCAGACATACAAATATATAATAAAGACCATATATGTCCACATAACATAAATGAAAACAGTCTGAAAATGGGTGTATTGGCAGAAGCAAGAAGCTTATAATGCCCACCCTCCAAAGCTAATTTACATTGGACTAGAAAGCAAAAGAAAAAAAAAGATAAAAAGATGGCTACCATTTATAATACATACCAACTCATGATTTAAAAAAAAATATTATAAAAACAAAAATAAATTCATTTCAGAGTCATTTATAGATCTGAGAAGCATTATTTCTCTGAAGGAAACTGGTATTGGTACACCCTTTTCTCCCAACAATAACTTTTTTATTATTAGGTATTTATTATTAAGTATAAGTATTATTATTTTTTATTTGGCTCATCAACAGTCGCATATTCTACTACATTCTTTTTATTTTAGTTTAAAAGTTTTTTAACCTGAAAAGTATTTCAAATACTTGCTTTTAAAAAGAAATCCTACGACATCAACCTGTGAAACTAAAATTGTCTCAATTCCAACACATTACAATCAGATTAGTTATTCTGTGATAATATAGTGAAGATGCTTAGCAATCAAATTTTTTCTCCTTTACTCTTAATTCTACCCAAGTCTAAAATACTGAAACTAAAAATGAATTACAAGCACTGAATATTTCACAACGATTAAAACAAACATTCAAATGAATTAAATTCTTTGTTCTATATAAGATTTAATTAAACCAAACCTTTTCTTAACTGTGCAGTGAGTGGCATGGGGAGGTGTGGAGGGAAGAAGGTTCTGTGATTTCTTACAAAGACAAACATTAGAATAAAGAACAAAGAGATGCAGCCGCATTAGCTCGCTTTCATCGTGACTGGAGGGAAAAGAAAAAGTGGGAATCTACACAATGACACAGAAAAAAGCAGGGAAATTAAAGTCCACCCCTCTGTGGAAATCTACATGATTAAACAACAAGAAGGAGGGAAATTATAATTAGTGAATAATGGACTGTTTTTACTTTATCACTGTTGGGTGTGGGTTTGTATGTAGAGGTGGGGAATAGTCTGTCAATCAAGTAGAATTACAAAAAAAACCTTTTTTTTAATTGTTTGGTTTTTTTTGTAATGGTGAAAAACAAATTCAAAGCGATTCCCTCATTTTCTGTTTAACATTGCTCATTTAATTTATGTAATGAAAAACAAAGGCTCATTAACAACACAAGACACATAATCGTTCAGTGTGAGAAAAAAAAAAAAAAAAAAGAGATGTTGGGTTCAGGGTAACCAGAATGTGGCTGATTACTCCAAACGGGATACTCCTACCCTACAGCAGCAGCTTCATTACTGTGAATTTAGGGGCAGAAAGGTGTGATGCTTTTAACCTCCAAAAGCATAACTACCCCTGCTTAAAGAAAACTCCCCACTGGTGGAGGGTGTCCTCATAGGCTACTGTAGAGGAACAGTTATAAATGATATGACATTTTTTGTCATATTGGAAAAACACATTTTTACATTTGTTGAGGACAATTAATCGAAGCTGCTTATAGCAATGGTATAACAGCTGCAGATGTATTTTAATGGTACAAAGCAAATTATTTTCATTCTGAGTTTGAGCTGTTTTGCAGAAGAAGAGCAAAGAGTGGAAAAGCTGTTAGATAGCTAGCCTTTATCAAGAACGTGTTTAACTTGATGCTTGCTTAGGTTCTAAAACAAAACTGCAAAGGGTTTTGTATCAGAGAAAAAGTCTGTATTTCAAAGTGTTAGGCATAAAATTATAGACATGCCTTCATGATTCAAGGATGAAATCTGATTTATATTTTTCACAATGTCAAGTTCTGCGACGCTTTTCGTCTAAATTCAGCTACTCCCATAAATCCATGATCTTGGACCTGGAAGGACAATCTGCAGTACGTCCACAGTACTGTTGCATCTTTCCACCTATGTTTTTCAAAGAAAAAAATTTCCTGTAGACTCAGTTTCTGGGAGATTCCAGAACCAGGTCTGACTAAAATAGTACTGCAAAACCAGAGATACGACATTCCTAACCAACAACTTCCCACTTTTGTTTACATCCACTGCTGACTGGCACAACAAATCCTTCAACATTCCAACGTTAGGCGTGACAAAAGCCCTTTTTGGGCATGCATTAGTAACTTTAACTAAGCCATCAAGCAGTTCAAATGGTTGCATTTAATGAGGTCAGGGAAATTAGCCTTTGCCCAGATCATGTGCCGCATTTCAGGCGGCGGTTGATAAACAGCCAATGAGATTTTTTTTTGGTCTTAACATTAAAACCTGAGTAATTATACATGATCTAACTGACTGTTCAGTGGAAGTACATGTGGTAATGAAACTCTGATCATTAGTACCAGCATGAGGTGACTATGAGATCCATTGGTTTTATATAGGGTATATAGTTTGCTATATTTCATAAATGCTGAAGATCAGAAACACAATCAATGGGAAGAGATTGAAATATAATCTACTAAAAACATCCAGATAAAAAATAAATGCAACTGTACTTCAAGTTTAAGTATCTTTAAGATGATTTAGTTCCATAATTCACCACAATAGTTACACTAGTCAATTATGTACCTAGGCAAGACATGGATTGCTTATGGGTTTTAAATGGTAGTGCTGAGAAACCTGGTATAGATAGAATTTAAGTTTTTCTGAAAATCATTGTGTTTTACAAATTTATATAAATGGTAAAGTAGAAGCTGCACCTTACTTTAAAACATTAATAGCTGGATTTAGCACAGGACAGTTCACTCTTTTTTAAAGTTATTTTTCTCCACTGTTGCTGCATGCATGTTTAGTGTGAGAGATTGTTGTAGAGTTTCCTTAGAAAGAATACTTTTAACCACTCTGACTTCTTTGACTTTGTCTGTAAAGTACATGGTATGTGAATTGTTGCTATATAAATAAAGAGAGTTGACAAATCTGATGGGGAATTCGTGATTATAAGTTTTCAAAATGATCAAATGTCTATCCTTATGAATTATTCCTTCAATATAAATATGAAGTCAAGGCACCCTAAAGTCTGCATGTTTGTTGTGATCACTGAAGTAGTTTAGCTTGCAATGCATGTCCCAATGTGTGAACTGGTGAAAATACCATTAGGAAAATTTAAAGTGAAAATTACTGATCTTTAGAAACCTGATCAGAGATAATTACCTGGATATTCTCATTCAGTGCCTCTCAGACAGTGACTTAACGATTAAGCAATAGGTATGTGATGATCAAATGTTTGTAATCTTAATTTGATTTCAGCAATCATACAACACAAAGAGCTAAAAATAAAAGATGTTCAACTCTATTAATATTTTTAGATATGAAATATGGGTGAGTGTTTTGTTTTTTAAACTGGACACTAAATGTTTTATAACTTTTTATAGCTCAATCTTTAATGCTAAATGTAACTTAAGCATCCCGTTCTGTCATTTCTTGAGACTTTATTATAATGGAAATATACTCTTAACTTAATAATCTTAACTTAAATTGATCAGAGCTACTAATGTGCTTGAAAGGCCTGGTTTTACAAGTGGAACAGAGAAGATGGCAAAGTTTATAAAGTTCCCAAACAATTCTAAAGTGCTTTTTTTTAAATAAAATGATGAAACACTGAACTTACTTGGCATGGAGAAGGGGGTCGAAAGGTGGATGTTGTGCCCCATACACATGCTGAATACTAAGGAAGTAAAGCAGAGAGGAGGAAATGAATGGACTCATCCGCTGAAGCTAAACATGCTACCTAAATGCAATGCAATACATTTTAAACTATTAATGTGTATATTATGAAATAATCTATCCTCTTGGGCTCCTGCTGGTGTTTTTAGAAACATATTTCAACTTTGCAATATATTTATATGGTAGATTTAACAGGTGCTAGCCGTTGTTAGCATCGCAGCACCCTGACAGCCTTAAGCAGGAAGTTGTAAACTGTGCAGAATGCACGAGCGTAACAGCAGAAGTTCAACATCAGTTTCATCCAAACTAATAAACTCTAATAAAAGGCCCGCAGCTGAAGTGAAAGCTGCGTTTGAAGCTTCACTAGGAGAAGCTAGGTGGCTAAGCTAGCCAACAGAAGGGGAACACGTCACTTACCTGCCAGGAACCTTGGCTGCGTTTCTTTTCCAGAACTGTTTCTTGTTCCCGTCGCTCGACATTTTACGCAACAGTCCAATAAGTCCCCAGCTTAAGCTCCCTGATGTTGTCCTTGTCTCAGAAACGCTTAATTTGTCTGTATTTACACCAGCTCCCCTCCTCCAAAACTCAGAGGGCTGCCATGTTGGTACTACCGCATCGGTGAGTAAACGCGAAGGTGATTGGCTGGAGTGACGCTTCCTTTTGGGGAGCCAATCAGAAGTGAGTTCGTTCTTTTAAGGATCCCAATGGGCTGCTGTCGTCATGTTTACTAAAACTACAGATGAGAGGCCACCCACAGAAAAATGACTCTATCTGGAATCTAATTTACTCACAGGAACAAGAAGCGACGATGGATTGAAATCCTCGACTTTATAGATATGAACAATATCTTCAAAATCAAATGGAATCAAGAATCCTTAAAAAAATCTAACTCTATCTGGCACTTCATTCCTAATTTTATTTCCTGAAAATTAGGTGGCTTGGAATTTCTTTTGAAATGCAATTATAAAATCAACAATCTACCAATTAAGCTTTCCTATTTTCATTAACAGGCTCTTACTGCATGGGAACTATGCCATCTTAACAATTTCTCCCCATATATGTTTATTTTATGGAATAATTATTATATATTAAAAGGGAAAAAATCTGTCTTTGTTCCAACCTGGGTTAATAAGAATATCATCACTGTTTCTAACTTACTAGATCACATTGGCAATAGTCCTCCCTGGATGACTGAGCTCCTCACCCTATCTCTAAGGGAGAGCCCAGACACACTAGAGAGAAAACTCATTTCGGCCGCTTGCATCCGGGATCTCGTTCTTCAGGTCATGATTCAAAGCTAATGACCATAGATTAGTGTAAGAACGTAGATCGACAGGTACCTCGAGAGCTTAACCTTTTTGCTCAGCTCTCTGTTCACCACAATGGACTGGTAAACCCGCTTTACAACAGGCGCTGCACCAATCCGCCTCACCATCTTCCCCTCATTCATGAACAAGACCCCAAGATATTTAAACTCCTCCACTAATCTGGTTCTTGAGACAATCAGCAAATCAATTTAACAATAAAAAACTCAATCTATCGTAGACATATTTTAGAAATTTAAATTACTCCCATAATTGCTCAAATCACCTCCCACCACTCTCCAAACTACTCTCCATCTCAATACATTTTTATCTTAGATCTCACCTTTCCATCCTACACCCCAAATCCCATTCCCTTTGCTTTTTAGTTGTTTATTTTCCTTTTTTTCTTTCTTTTTTCTCTTAGCTAATTTTTGATTGATGTGAGATTTGTCAATACAACTGTTACTGAGGAACTTTAGAAATATGAATGGCTTATTTACATTAAACACTGCACATACATTTCATTGTTTATATGTAAATAAAAAATAAAAAAATAAAAAACACCCACAGACAGATATTAGCGTTACTTTGATTAGAAACCTTTTCATTCTCTATGTAAATATTCCAAAACTTCTCGCAGCTTTATATGTTTCTTATATGAGTGTAGAGGGTGCATGATATCCCTAACACTACTTAACTTTAAAAAAAATCTCTCATAAACATTGCTGGATGTGCTGCATCTTTTTAGAGTAATGCAGATATGTCTTTTTTTTTTCTTATTAACCTGAGCACCTGTCTGTTTCCTTTAATAATGTTTGTTTGGACTTTTTTTTTTCAATGAAGTTCATCACAAAAATAGCCTTGGATTACAACAATGAATGGGTTATTTGGCCATTACAAAAACTGAGACCACCCACAGGCAAACGGAAGGATTTTACTCTCAAAAGCTGAGAAAAATCTCCAGAGCTATATACACTTAATTATCTTTAGAAATGCCAAAGGAAGTGTGCAAAAAGTTATACATTATTCTATTTGATTTTATATGGAAACATAAATGTCATTACTTAAAAAGAGACATTGTCTGTAATACAATGTATGGTGGTCCAAATCCGAAATTTGAAATGCTAGACAATTCTTTTAAATTTAATTGGTTAACTGAATTATTAAAGGGAGATAATACGTTTTGAAACATTTACCCCAACTATATTTTTAATCATTTTAATCAGATGGATGGACTCTAAATCTTACTAAAACGAGACTACAAAATTAAAAAGCTACAGATTGAAGTTTTATCAACAAGCTCTCCAGGCCTGGAAACTTGCCTACAAGCATAATTTCCCCAAAATAACATGTTAGATTTGGAACAATGTAAATATTCTTTATAAGAATAAATAACTTTATTATAAGAACTTGTTAGAAGATGATATTGTGCTTGTTCAACAACTTTTAGATAACAGTCTTCTTATATCATATACCAAATTTATATACAGAATAAAATCTCTGTAGCACTTAAACAGCATATTGTGGTTTTTGATGTTACACCAAACATCTTGTTACAGCTCTTTAAAGGAACTAAGCCTAATATTTCAGGGATTTAAATATATCAATTTCTATGCAACATTGAAATTGAACTATTAAGCATGATGTCAAATTTGTAAATTGTGTACTTTTTGTACAATCATTTATTCAATATTCATCATTCTATCAGATAGTACTAGGTCTTCCGTTTAGAGAGAACTTTTTAACAGAAGTTCTCCTAATTTTTTTAATGTTTTTCTAAACCTGGAACACAGCTATTTTTTATTTATTCTAATTAACAGGACAGTTGTTTTCCATTTAAACACTTCCCAAAGCTAGGCTGAAGTTAAGATGACTTGAAAGTAATAATTGCTTAAATGCACCTTTAATTTCTTGCTTGGTGTGATGAATTTAAAACAGTAAAATAGTAAATACATTAACAGCTAAAACAGCTTGGGGTAAAATTGACCCCTGAGAATAAAAACTGCATGCAGTATGCACTCATCACATAGAGTATATATCAGCACAGTATCAGAATATCAGTACAAAAACTTTATGCTTTATCCGTTGTCCCCATCAAATTAGGAAAGCTGAACTATTTTTGGAATGACAAACATTGAATGCGGTCAAATTGATCCCAAGGACTATAGATGGATTAAATTATGTAGCAATTTGATACACAACAGACAAATAGATTAAAAAAAGAGAAATAATGAAGGCTTAAATTGAAGCTTAAATTCAATTTATGCTTAAATGAGATTTTGTTTCAATATCCTATCCCCCCCCCTTTTTTTTTTTTTAATTACAGATCTGTTGAAAAGTGTACAGAAATTATTATTAAACTATTTATCCCAGTGGTCATCCCCATCTCCTGCTCTCCCCACTATCATCCAGGCCCGCCTCCATTATTTACCACAACATGCACAACAAAATAAAAAAACACACTCATACCGAAAAAAAAGTAAATATTGCAAAAATGAAAAACCTTTTTATCATTTAACTCATCAGAACTATTAATAACAGTATTGCTGACCACTTTTTGCATTAGAAAAATAAAAAAAGAAATCATTCTATGTTTAACCCTTCTGTATACTTTGCTAATATCAAATTGTATAATTCCTGGGGCTATCCCAGGCTACTTGTGTCAAAATAGCAACAACACCTGTTGTGCTGTTTTTGTTTTTTGGCAGGGTATAAACTCAGTGGGTTCTGTCCAGTAGTAAGAAAAGCTGCAGTATTCAGGAAGATGCTTTAGACTCTTTAAAAAATCTGACAGGAACACCTTCTTCCGCATGTTTGCTGTGTCCCCTGCTTTGGCTAATGGAAAAATCCAGACAGAATCTCTTACTTACGTGATTTTTTTCAGTTAAAGTGTACAATATTGTTTCAGAAATGAGCATCTCTTAACTTGTTTATTCCTTGGTCTTTGCGATAGTGATCATTAAAAGTTTGTTATAAACTTCTCTTTAACACACAACTGCAGGAGATTAAATTATGTAAGGTCAGGTGACTTCTGAAAACATTTTTCTTTTCATTGTTTTAATTCATATTCATAGTACATTTTAAAATATTCATTAGAGAAACTAAAACATGTGGATAAGGGGTTCAGTAGGGAGTGCACTCCCTACTGAAGGGAGGTAGGGAGTGCTGTGTGCAGGGGCAGAGCTAGATGGGGGGCCAGGGGTGGCCATGGCCACCCTTAGTCAATCGTTGGCCCCTACCATTAATTTCCCTCTAATATAGATGGTGGGAACAGTAATAACCTCAAGTGGATCATTTAAAATATTTTAATTTTTCATATATTAACAATTACCTGACAACAATAAGACTGTGGTTGATTATACACATCAACATACTAACATTAATAATGATAAGTACAGAATTCAAGCAGAAATACATTTTTTGTTTTATGGGGTAATGAGAAAATAATGTGTCTCTTCAAGTCATCAAGGAGTCTTCAGTGAAATCATAGATAAATAAATATTCTAATAAAAACGTATCAAATAATCGATTTATGTAGATATCAGTACTTGTAAATATCATTTTTATGCAGAATGATTATTGATAAAAGTAGGTAAGTAATGGCAATGGAAAAGATGTTCGCCCAAAACATAAACCTGAAAGAATTTTATCCACTATACCTATAAAGCACCGATTTATAAATATATTCGTCTATTTGTTAACAAAGACTGTTGTAAAGTATAGTTTTGTCTTTATTTAGAAAATATGGATGTTTTGCTTATTAATTTTCCTGTTGGAACAGGTTTTGGTGCCTATCTACTAATTGCCTGGCCACCCTTATAAAACAAATTCTGGCTACGCCTCTGGCTGTGTGTGAGAGAAGATATCAGAACCGAAAGTAACTCGTTTTTTTGGCGAAGTGAGTCATCTTTCTGCTACGATCTTTGTTGACGTCTCTCAGCCTGTAGGTGAGGACGCAGCCGGAGTCGCCAAAAGACAAACAGGCGCTGGACGCGTCTCGTTGCGCAGGTCGTAACAAAGTTGGAATGAACCTGTTTTTACAAGGACAGCTAGTGACACCATGGAGAACCAAACCCAGATTATTTGCTCTGAGCTTTTCCAGAAGCACAGGAAGGTAGAAGTTGCCCTCTATCCTGCTCTTCTCACCTGGAAGGAAATTGAGAAAAGTAGAAAGCGGAGCTCTGGCGCATCTGAAGCAGGTAAGTCAAACACAAGGACACTTCTTGAGGAAATATAAAGATCATAACTTGTATTTGTTCTGTGAAATTAAACTACTTTTTCCCCCCTCATTCTAAACGAGAAATGCTCTTTTAGAGGCTG